TGTTGGTTTTCTTTAGTAACATTTCTACTTCCTAATACAGAACATCTGGAACTGTAATGTTTTGTTCCAAATGTGCTAACTCCATTGGCATTAACAGCAAAAAAAGTTTGTTTAAAAAAAATCTTTATAGATCATCTATCTCCATTTCAAATGTGTTATTATCCATCAAATGAGATCATCTGGCACATAGTAGGTGCTTAATAAATGCTTACTCCCTTCCCTCTCCCCATCCAGTTTCATTGCTAAATGCCCTCTGAATGACTTTGTTCAGTTGGATCTCTTGCCAGGTTTTCTATAAATTTGTTTTCCCCTCCACTGCTTCTCAGTGATTGATGAAGCAATATTTCTACACTCATTCACCATTCTCCTTTGGAAGATATTACAGCTGAGTTTATATTCTAAATTGGTGTTGCCCTTGGCTGCTATCTCTCTCCAGTTGGCAAGTAAATCTAGTATTGACTGACTGCATAGGTTTCCAGGCTCCCTTGGTCGTCTTGTTATAGTGATTGATTTACATCAAATATATTCCTTTAGGAAACATGATGGTCTCTTCTGGTGGCTTGCTTTTTCTCCATTTCTCTCTCTCTCTCTCTCTCTCTCTCATTACAGAGTGATTCAAAAGGAACAGACTAAACTAAGAAACAAGTGGTTTTTAGACCATCTGTAGAATTTAACATAGCTGTTGGCATTCTGAGTGTGAGTTCCTAGTCCAGTGATCAGTTAATGGTCAGACTACTTAGAATTGAGTCATATTAATACTGATAACATTATAATTTAAAACACAAGAAGGGAGCTGTAATAGAATGGAAGGATATCTCATAGGTTCCTGGGGTGGGGCATGGGGTAGGGAGAGTTCGAAGAGTTTGTGGAATTGATTTTCTCATGTTACCTACAGGTAAAAAGAATCATTTCATGTGACATTTTGTCAACAAAAATCGCAGCACTCAGGATAAGTTTGTGCAAGAAGACCACCATGAAAACAATTACAGATTACTTACCATCCTTGCAGAGGTAGAGAAAGTCTGCAAAATAAATAAATAAATAAGAACTTTATAAAGCCATCCAAAGCAAATTTATTCATATTTGTTAGAAAGGCTCTATTTGTCTTCTTTTTTTTTTTTTTTAAATTGGGCATAGGGTAGGGAGGTGAGAAAAAATGCTTATTAATTAAAAATAAAATGGGAAAAAAATCCTCCACAGCAAATCAACATATACTTTGCAACTTGGTGACTCATGTCCAAAAAGAGGGGATAGGTGAGGATGGTAAGGAGTAATTGGAAAATATGTTCTAAGGATGAGAGGCCCAAAACTCATGAATTACACAGAAGATTCACATCTGTATATTATTTATTTATTAGATAAAATAATAAGTTGGTGTCTTTCATGGCAAGCACCACATAGCATCAACACACACACACATATATACACAAGTAAAATTAATTCTATTTCAGCAGATAAGAAGTGTCTCATTACTGACGTGGGAGTCATTCCTGAATTAGCTGTCTATATAATACTACTTGTTAGAGCAAAGATCAAAATTAGTACAAACATGCCCAGCTCTCCCCCATCCTTGAAAAATCTTCCCTTGACCTTACCATGGCCTCAAGCTGTTGTCCTATATCTATCATTTCTTTCACAGCCAAACTCTTAGAAACATCTGTCTGTACTCATTGACTTCATTTTCTCACCTTCAGCTCAGTTCTTAACCTCTTTCCATCTGGCTCCTGTCTCCAGTATTTAAATTGTGACTGTTTGTTCCAGGGTTGCCAGTGATGTTAAACCCAGTGGCCTTTTATGTTGTCATCCTGTTTTAACTCTCCATAGCATTTGACTCTGTTGACTCTTCCCTCCTTTTGGATACTCTAGCTTCCTGACCCTGCTTTGTCTTGGTTCTCTTCTTACCTGTCTAGGCAATCTAAGCACCTTAGCAAGATTATTAGCCATGTCCTAACACATGTTCCATGTGTGAGCGTCCCTGGGATCCTCTCCTGTGTTCTCTCCTTTGCTCTAATCTTTGGGTTTTCATGACGTAACTGTTTTCAAGTTTTCCTTCTATCAGACCACTCCTCAATCTTTTTTACTGGTTCATCATCCATATTATGTCCCCTAACTCTGGATATTCCTCAGGGTTTTGTGCTAGGCTTTCATCTCTTCTACACTCTTTCTCTCAGTAACCTCATCCCCTCCCATGGGTTCATTGGTGCGAGTAGCTTTTCACCTGGTACAGATTGCATATCCTTCATGCCTTAGTGGTTGGCCTTCATGAGTTACTGTCATTACTAGGCCCAACACTCCATCCACAGTGTCACTTAGCTGCCCCTTAAATTTGGAATATTCTGTATGAAATAATAGGAAAGAAATTTAATGTAATAAAAAATTAGAAGAGAAAATGTAACTGAGGGGGAGGGAGTGAAATCTTTTCAACAAGTTTCTCTAATAAAGGTTTCATGTAAAAGATATATTAGATACTGATTCAAATTTTATAAGACTAAGAGCCATTCCCCAGTAGATAAATAGTCAGAAGATGAATGGTTTTCAAAGAAACAAATCCAAGTTATCAATAATCATGAAAAATACTCTAAATCCCTAATAATTAGAGAAATGCCAATTAAAGCAACTATCAAGTTCTGCCTCACACCTATTAGACTGGCAAAGATGACAGAAGATGACAAATGTTGAAGGGGCTGTGGAAAAACAGGTATACTTGGTAAAACTGTGAATTAGTCAAGACATTCAAGAAAATTAATTTAGAGCTATGCCTGGAAAGTTACCAAATTTTGCATACCCTTTGACCCAGCTATAGCACCACTAGACCTAAACCTCAAAGAAAGAGGAAGAGGATCTATAGGTACAAAAATATTTGCAACATCTTTTTCATGGTAGCCCAGAATTGAAAACTAAGAAGTTGGCTTCCTTTTGGGGAATGGATAAATAATTTGTGGTAGATTAATGTGATGGATTTTTATTGTGCCATAAGAAATGATGAAATAGACAATTTCAGAGGAATCTGGGAAGGCCTTTATGTACTGATGCAGAGAAGAGTGAAAAATAGGAGAACAATTTATACGATAATAACATTATAGAGAAAAACAACTTTAAAGACTTTAGAACACTGATCAATTAAAGACTTTAGAACACTGATCAATTCAATATAAACTATGAGTTCAAAAGAATCAAGATGAACTTAAAATGCAGAAAGAGATACTCATTTTCAGACATGACTATTGTAAGAATTTGTTTTGCTAGACTATTCAGCTGTGCATCGAGGGCTTTATTTTTCAGAATCTTTTTAATTTGCTCAATGGAAAGTGGATGTAATGGAATAGATAAATTAAAATATGTATGAATCAAAAGTACAAACAAAATAATAGAGAAACCTGTACAAAAAAAAATGGCTAAAAAGGCTTTAATTACCGGGGTAGACAATGCTAGATAAATGAGATACTACTTTACTGAATTTTTCCAATTAGTGATCTTTATACCAAAATTTATTCTATGGGAGAGATATTCATCTCTGATGCTACTTTACTTATATTCACATTGCTTTTAAAATGGATATGTGTGTGTCTATGTATGTATATGTACATATACATACATATGTAAATATATATAAAACATTCTTCTCAGATTATTCAAAGAAACACTTCTCAAGAGAGCCAGCACTAACTGACCATTTCTCTCCCAAGTATACTTACTGTGGGAAGGACCAAAGAGTCTGTGAACTCACTGTCTCCAGCATTGCTAATGTTTGGCTTCAAATGGAGTCATACTTGCTAAAGGACACAATCCTACTTTCAGATCCAATCAACTGGTTCTGAACCTTTTAAAATCAAAGTATTTTAGGTTCTAGTTCAGAAGGTTCATGTTTTAGCTGTCTTCTGCCTTGCTCATTATATAGCACTCACATTAGTATACCCCTGTTTGTAAAGACTGTTGAGGAACTCAGAAACTAACACTGACTTTATTGTTCTCCTCAGTTATACAGAGAATATCTAAGATATACATGGCATTTCTATAAATATTCTTTAATAACTAGAAGACCCATCAATTCATCAATGTGAATAGCTTTTCAACTGGCGCAGCTTGTCTTTTATTCCTTGGCCTTCAGGAGTTACTGTCACCACTAAAATAATTCAACACCCAGTCACCAACCTTCTGCTTATGAGTCAGTATACTGATTGGTGATGAAAATCATATTAGGGTATTAAGGAATCAAGTGTTTAGTATCAACTTTTTTGCCTTTGAGAATGTGATTCTGAGGAGAGATAGATAATGTTCTTGGCCTTTATCCTGCCACATTCCAAGTGAAATGATCCCTAGTTAATAAATATTCATGTCATCTCGATGATTACATGTACCTCAGGTGGTTTTTTAAAATTCATGTTGTGATTGTCTTCATATTAACTTAATGTTAATTGAATGACAAAGATTATTCCATCATTTTGAAATCCTGGGTTTTTTAGCCCATTTCACAATTAGTGGCCATGTGTCATCACTAAAGCCAACTAGTGGTCTTGAAATAGTATAAATTGTCATCTTTCTGCCTGCATCAGCCTTGTTGAGATGAGGAACTGAGGCAAACAGAGTTAGGTGACTTGCCCAGGGTCACACAACTAGTAAATGTCTGAGACCATACTTGAACTCGTGATTCCTGATTCCAAGCCCAGCGTTCTATCCACTGTGCCACCTAGCTTTCCTTCATTAAGACTGTTGGTGTGCAGAATCACCTAGCAATATTTACCAGATCTCTGAACAGAGGATTACCTCCTAAGAGCCTGTTCACATACTTTTCATGTCTTAAATAAGGCAGCATTAATTATTGTTGAACAAATTTTGATCTAAAATGGAACAAATATAAGAAGGTGTTTGGATGAGGCAAATCAATGAGACTTTGCCCTCATGGACAGGTGCAGTACCATCTAGGAATTTTAAGCTAGTGAGCAGTTGTAGATTGTAAAGGTTTAAAATTGTAACTGAAATGTTTCTTCTTTCTTCCACAGCTCTGGTAGTAAGATTTCTGACCAAACGGTTCATCTGGGAATATGACCCAACCCTCGGTAGGTCAAGTTTCATGTTAACTTTTTTTCTGTTAAAGAAAAAATGGTTTACTGTCTTCTACAGTGTTTTTTGAACCTCCCCTGGAATACTATATATAAGTGCCTCTTTATGGTATGATAGTAAGCCTATGTTCTCAGTAATTATGCCATTGGAATATAAGCTGTATCAGTTCTTATCCATGAAAAGGCTTGAAGTATGCTCGGTTAGCATTTATTAAGTACTTACTATGTTCTAGCACTGTGCTAAGCACTGGGGATACAAAGAAAGACAGTACCATGCTGTCGAGGAGCTCACAGACTAATGGGGGAGACAACATGCAAACAAATCTGGACAAACAAGGTATCCACAGATAAAGTGGAGATAATCAACAGAGAAAAGGCACTGGTCTTAAGGGGTAAGAGGAAGGAGTCTCTTGTAGAAGGGGGAAATTTAACTAGGACTTGAAGTAAGCCAGAGAAGCCAGGAAATGGCAGCGAGAAGGAGAGTGTTCTAGGCATGGGGGTGGCAAGTGAAAATATCTGCAGCGTCTCCCGGTGACATATTATGTATGTTGACTGAGGACCCTGGTGTAGCTAAGTAGGAGAGGCTCATTACCAGATAGGCCTCAGGACAACACCATTTTCGGACACAGCAGTCTTAAAGGCCATTGAGGAAGTCAGAGATGGCGATCATATTGGTGGCAGAAAAACTCAGACAAACCTATGTGATAGATCCCTTCAAGTACTCAGATATCCTTGTGGAAATGCTTTATTAAACAATGTAACAGAGACCTCTAAAAGGCCTTTGCTGGATCCCTGTTTCATGCTGTTTATGCCCAAAATACTCTAGACATTTGGGAGGCACAGATGAATAAATCATATCAGTAAACAATTCCACAATTTTAATTATTCTATATTATGGAAATACTTTTTTATTATATAAATTAAAATTTAAATAAATAAAAAATTTTTTTAAATTCCACAGCTAAAGTTGGTATCCAGGGGAAAGAAATGAGTGAACACAGTGTGGTCTACCCATCTAAGATTCTAGCTATAGTTATTGCAGAATTATTCTATTTTTCTGGAGATTCTTCTTGACATTCTCTTACTCCTTTGCAATTCTTCATTGTATTAAGACCTTTTCTTTGCTCAAATCCTGCCTCAGATACTTACTAGCTGTTTGACCCCAGGCAAGTTATTTAACCTTCCTGTGCCTCAGTTTGCTCAGCTGATAAAATGGGCATAATAATAATAAGCACCCACCTCCTAGGGTTGTTGTGAGGATCAAAAGATATAATATATATAAAGCAATCTGCAACCTTCCAAGTGCTACATAAATGTTACTATTTTTAATTATCAATATCTTATGGGAGTATTTTCCCCTTTCTGTGTAAATTTCTTTCCTTTCTCCTCCTTTATTTGTTCTTTTAGTTTATTTGGAGCATTTTTATCTATTTTGAGTTGATGAGTGGAAATTAGGTTTATGCAGTCAATAAGTCAATCAACGATCATTTATTAAGCCCACTTAGAAATACAAAGAAAGGCAAAAACAATTCCTACTCTCATATTCTGATGGATAACCTCACACTTGATCATTTTGGCAGAAGTTGTCCTTGACAGTGCTTTTTAGAGGAAATGTTTTTATATGATAGCTAGATTGATTGATTCTAGTAAATATAATATTGTAATATTCAAGGTAAAATTAAATGAGTGATTTTCATACCCAACAAATTCTTTCTGCTTGTTCTTTAACATTTACATACATATATATGTCATTACTCCAGTAAATATAATATAATATTGAAGGTAAAATTTCAGTTAAAATACATTCATATTGCTTTTTATATATATATATACATACATATATATATACACATACATACATACATACATACATACAGTAGTCTGCCTTTTCTGTCCTCCATTAGTATGTGAGTTCTATGTGAGGGCAGTAATTATCTTTTTTCCTTTCTTATATTCTCTGCATTTAACATAATTCTTGGCATGATGTAAATAACTAATAAATTCTTGTTGGTTGCCTGACTGATTGGACCTCAGTTTCCTTATGTGTAAAATGAGGTGATTGAATTAAATGGTCTCTGAGATCTCTTGCAGTTCTAGGTTCCATGAACTTTATTTTCATGAGCATATCTTTGCAGGGATTATGCTTTCCAAAAACAAATGATTTATTGGAAATAAGTAGAAAAATATAAATTATACTTGTGAAAGGAGTACTTTCCAGTGAAAGAAAAAGCAAATAAAAATTATGAGCTCATAACATATTTGTGTTTTTCTGAGTGTCCCTCTTTAGTCATCAGTTAACAGCTATTGCTATGTTTTAAGTAATTGTGAATTCCTTTTTTTGTTTTTCTCCAAGAAATTTGCTAACCATTGGGAATGTATAAACCAATTTTTTGACGTATTTTTCTTACCCCCAAATATAAATATAAAAGAAATTGCATTGTAAAGTGCCTTTTAAATGCAGCTGCTAAGCAACCAAAGCTTTGATCAGAAGCTTTACAAGCTCAAGAGTGTCAAATCTGTGACTCACTCCTAGGCCAGGATTTCATTAACTCTTTTGCACTGGGAATTGTATTTTCTTGGCTGGTAGTTATACAGTCAGTCTCCAAGCTAGGAAATTCCCAATCCATCCACCCAGTCCACAGTTGAAGTACAGCCAGAGTTTCAGCTGTACTTGTATTTTAAAGATAGCATAAAGGGAGCTATTTACCTCTACCAAATCCTTGGTTTCCTAGGTTATTGGTCTCAATACCAGCATTCAAGGACTATCCATTTTGTGCTGGGAACATAGACTCTATAGAATATTAGTTCAGGGCAGCAACATAGAGGTCAGCTAGCCCAACCCCTTCAGTTTACAAAGAATAAATGTCTAGAAAAAGTGAAGTGATATGAGCTTGATGAAGCAGCTGATTGATCAGAATGCCCTGAGTTCTGCATCTTTTTCATAACCACAGTGGAATTTTCTCATTTGCCAATTTGTCTATCTCTGAGAGGCTGAAGAAAATGAATGTTTTGTTGTAAATTGAGAAAAGACCTATGCCTAATTTTGATACTTCTATCATATCCTTAACACTTCAACCCTGGTGAATCTGTGGTCTCCTTGGTGGTTTACTCTTCCGGTAAAAGTGACTTTGTGAGCTTCTCAACCTTAGCCTTTCCTGAGTCATCCATAGGGGATCTACCCAGTATGTTTCAGGCTTTACCAGAGTCTGTCCCTTTTCCATGGATACCAAATCAACTTTTAGGCAGTCCATCTATCTCTAATTCTTCACTCTTGCCCCTCATGATTAGGATTCTGACTTTGTAACATATTCTTGATGACTTGAAGCAGCTAAACGGTCCTAGAGTGCTGAATGTGGAGCTGGAATCAAGAAGACCTGAGTTCAAATCCTCAGTCAGCTACTTCCTTGGCTGTAGGACTCTGAGTAAGCCATGTAAACCTCTCCAGCCTCAGTGTTCTTGTCTGTAATGGGAATAATAATAAAATACCTACTTCACTGGGCTGTTGTGAGGATTGGATGAGATAATCCACTTGTAAAAGTTCTTTATGCACCTTAAAGTGTCATATAAATGCTAGTTATTGTTATTATTTTTATCATTATCATTTCAGTTACCTTTTATTCCATTTCTTCCATGAATATCATTGTTGGTCACTTTAGTCACTTTGGGTCACCTGCAGTTTAACTCTTCTGAAAACATGGTTTGGTGGGCCTTAGCATCATGTAGGAACTTAAGATCATTGAAAGTATTGTGTCGTTTTCAAAAGCAATACATCCTGTCCCCTCCTAGTTAGTTCTAGGCCCAGCTCATTATCCATCTGAGGTGCCTTTATATACTATATATGTACTTATAGATGAACTCAATGGTGAGTTTATATGCTAAATGTATACTTATAGATGATGGAGATCATCTGAATAATAATAATAATAACTAAGATTTATACAGCACCTTAAGGTTTGTAAATTGCTTTTACAAATATTAACTCATTTGATCTTCACAATAATCCTAGGAGGTAGGTGGTATTATTATCACCATTTTACAGGTGAAGAAACTGAGGTAGATACAAGTTAAGTAACTTTCCCAGAGTCACACAGCTGGTAAGTTGTGAGGCTAGATTTCTTATCTTATTGGTTTTCTTTGTAGTATAATAACTTTTTGAGTTGCCATAGGTCTTATTGACAGAATCTTATTCTGAGGACTTAGTGCAATTACTACAATATCCTCTGCAAATAGATGCATTTGAAGCAATTGATTCTCTTGATTCCAGAAAATGTTTATGCTTAACAAGGTCCTTAGATAACTCTGCACATCTGAAATTTTCCTTGTCTTTCACTAGCTGCAGTCATAAAGCATGCCCTGACAGAGGTACATAGATGACAAGTATGATAAGTTTCAGTGCAGGGGAGGAATGCAAAAAACATTTTCTACTTGCTCCCCACCTTTGAGAAAGCTAGCAACAGTTTTATAATTTTTACCACCAGTCATTGCAAGAGCTATCATTTTCAGCAGGAAATAGTTTAGGAATAATATTATTTCTAACGTCAAGAACAAGGAGAGTTTGGATTTTCTATTCTGAACCAAATAATAATTACTTTTCTTCCAGTCATCCATTCTGGCATAATCTACATGAGTAGACATCCTTTGCTTTAATCAGAAGGAAACAAAGTGGAGAGTTCACTTTAATCCCTTCTATAATATCAAGTTTTTCAGTAGTTTATTTTACTAGTAAAGGTAGGAGTCTTTTTGTTGCTTTGTTTTTGTTTTGTTTGTTTTGACCTGGCATGCACAAGTACAGCTCTCTTCATTGGTAAGTGATTAGGCATTAGGATGTTTGGGTGACACCAGATGTGAGCAAAGCAATTAGAAGCAGATATTAAAAATGCCAATGAAGAAAGCCTGGGAATATAAGGACAAACATCTTGCAGAAGAAGAGGGGATGGGTGGGTTGCAATTTGCTTTGTTGAAAGGAACAGTCTCATTACCTGACAGTTCTGTAGAAG